GGTGCTGATATGGCAACTTTTTCACATTTAATCAGCTCTTGATGGTTCAGTTTCTTCAGGATCAGTTTCTTGAGGAAAACAGGTCTACAGAGCAGATCACTCAAGAGAGGGCTAAGCTGCAGAYGTGACTGCAGCCCCTCTGGAAAGCTGGTATACCAGCCAGGTCCAGAGCTCTGCTGGGACACGAACTTGTGGTATGGAACACAGACTAGCTTCACAAAATACAGAAGCAGATGAAGGCCCAACGAGTTTTCCAGAAATTACTTTGCAGATGAAGATGAGCATGTCCTAGCATGACCCAGCATGACCCTGGCTCTGAAACCTCATTCTCCATCACAGACTCTGAGCTGTGCCTTGCTGGGACTGGACCTGCTTGAAGATACTGTGGTTGTCATGTGCTGTGGGGTGCCTCACCACCCATGGGGGTTTGCTGGAAACTTGGCTCACTGTGAAGTCATAGAATCATTGAATCAAAGAATCATTATGGTTAGAAAAGACCTTCAAGATCATCAAGTSCAACCATAAATCCTTCAACACTATGCCTGTTAAAACATGTCCCTAAATCCCCATCTTGAACACTGCCAGGGACAATGACTCCACCACTTCCCTGGGCAGCCTGTTCCAATGCTTGACTACTCTTTCCATGCAGAAATTCTTCCTAATATCTAACCTGAGCCTCCCTTGGAACAACTTGAGGCCACCTCCTCCTGTCTTATCTGCAGTTATTCTGGAGAAGAGATCAATCCCTRTCTCAGTACAACCTCTTTTCAGGTCACTGTAGTGAGCGATAAGGTCTCCCCTGATTCTCCTCTTCTCCAGACTGAGGTCTCCATTTAAGGTCTGTGCTCCAGTCCCTTCACCAGTTTCACTCCTCTGGACACACACCTCAATGCCCTTCTTGTGGTGAGGGGCCTAAAACTGAAGACAGTAATCAAGGTCAAGTACAGCTTGCTTCTGTCTCACTCAATGGGCAGCAAGGGGGAATCAGAAGGGCAAGGAAAAGAAATTCTAGTTTGCTCGTGATTCCTTTCTTATTTCGTGGTAGTTTAGTCTCCCAAATTGTGGTGGCAGTAGGAAACCTGTACTTAGACATTTCTGAGGGTTTTCTGAGGGTCTGTGGGAATGGCTGCTAGTGRATACTGCACGTAGCCCCATCCTTAACTCCCTGGGCATCCAGGTGTCACTTCACTAATGGCATTTTCCAGAGCAGCAAATATCAACAGCTGGTCTTCAGTAGACTTTAGCTTTTGCTTACATGACTAACTATTGTTTGGTGTTTAATATTTCCATAGCAAGAGTCAGGAACAGCATGTTCATCCTTCGTTGAATTATAAAGTGTGAGTAGCTAAGGTATTTTTTGTTCTAATAAGCTACATGGTAGCACAAAATGACACAATACATCAGCAGCAGTAAGACTCACCTTTCACCATTACCTACTTAGTTGTCATGCAGCCAGATCAAAGGTAACAGCTCTTCTCTGCTCTTAAATGGAAATGGCAAGACTGAGATGACCTCACCATGGTGACACTACTGGTAACTATCTGACTTTATTGGGAAAGAGTGCAAGGGTCAAATCCTGCCTTTGATTATACTGTAGGGGTCTAGCTCAAAACATCTACTTAAWGTTTCATGCTCTCACCTGCCTGCAGCATTAACATGTCAGTGTATGTTCCAGAACTGAGCCAAAGCAAGTGACAGAGGTATAAATGAAGAGATATTTTCTTTTAGGCCTTACGATTCTGTAATCTGTTGAGTTCTATACCGTTCCATTCTATGGGAGGCCCTGCTGGTAAAGATCTGATCGTGTTTTTCTATCCACTTTCATCTTGCTCTGTTCTAGTGAGTTTTTCGCATCTCCGGTCTGCAGTGGCAGTAATACTCCTTCCCCCGACACATGCAATAATAACGTTTCATTAAGATTTTCATATGCCTTTGAATGTGCCTACAGCTGGTTTTTTTTTTTTTTTTTTTTTTTTTTTTTTTTTGAGGATTTTTTTTTTTTTTTTTTTTTTTTTTTTTTTTTTTTTATATCTGCATTTTCCTCCTTAAAAGTAAAATTTCCACTTCCTTTCCTCAACTTTTTTCACTTGTATCATCAGAACGAGGCAAGATGCTGGGACATCTTCTGGGAGGATTTATAAACCTATGCAATTAATTTGAAGCAAAATTGCTTCCTACTGCCTGAAAATGCTATTCATTCAATCAAAAGCAATATCTCCATCAGTGGTCATCTTGTTCCACAGTTACTAAATGACAGGACCGTGTTCCTACTCTAACCCTTAGATGMCACAAGGAGGTGGATTCACATCTAAACATCAGATGCGAGGACTCAGAAGTAAATACACCCCAAATATGAATTTATCATCAACAGTTCTGGCATCAGTCTTCCTATCTTTTAGGTTTGGTCTCCAGAAGAATAAGGATAATGTCTGCTCCCACCTGAGAAGTTCTTTGGAAGCACAAAGCTGTGTTTATTGTTGTAAGCCACATGACTCAAAGAAAGACATGTGCATTTAAAACCTAGGCTACAGTAGGCTATTATTTCTAAATATTTTTAGGATGCTTCCTATTCTGAGAGCGGAGCCTTACATTCACAAATCATGTGTTTGCCAATGGCAGCGCTCAGCTATTTAATGAACTATTTGTGGTCAGAAAACAGTTGATAAAAGTCCAAGCTGTACCAGCTGGTCTCAAAATTTGGCCAACATAATTGCAGACCAGTGCTGAAATAACCGCTCAGGACAAAGACCTCTTCTTTCTGTTTGAAATAGATATCAGCACTTGACAGCAATAATAGTCATCTCTATACACCTCACTCCCTATTAACCACAAAGCCCACACCTCACTTAAGATGCAAACCCAAAACATCTGGCATATGCTCGAGTAACTCAACTTTGAGAGATGCTATATTTTGTTTCTCTGATACTTACTGACAGCTCTATTTCTCCTGTTACTTTGCAGCCATCTGGAAAACTTAAAAAAAAAAAAAAAAAAGTTATTCAATTTAGCTTTGCCCCATGTGACAACACTACCCATATCAGCTGACAGGTGTGGAATTAAATGATAAGCCTGAATGGTTTAAGACTTGTTGAGGATTTAGCTTGCTTACAATTTGGCTGAGAGCTGCCTTTTTTAGCCTGGGCTGCTGGGTTATCCGGAGCCTTGGGAACCCCAGACTCAGGAACAGAAAAGGTTCAGRAGCAGCTCTGCTGCAGGGACAGAAGGGCTGAAGGGGATGGCTATTTGCTTCAGGATATTTGCTGAAGGAAGGGTTTTGTGAGGGTAACAGAGCCCTGGAACAGGCTGCCCAGGGAGGTTGTGGAGTCTCCTTCTTTGGAGGTCTTCAAAACCCACCTGGATGCCGCCCTGTGCCACATGCTCTAGGTGTGCCTGCCTGAGCAGGAAGGTTGGACTAGATGATCTCTAGAGGTCCCTTCCAACCTTGAATATTCCRTGATTCTATTCTGTGAAGGAGCAGGATACAAAGTGGTGGTTCATCCAGACTTGGAGCATCTCAATCCCTCCCTAGTGGAGCTGCCACTGTGTATTTGCTGCTGTGGTCCTGGGCCAGGGCTTGATTCGTGGAGCCATGTGAGGCAGCAAACACTTACCCATGTAGTGTGGCAATTTGCCAGACATCTAATTGTAATGGAGCTATTCACATGCCTACTTATAATATTTATTAAATACTTATGAAATCTTGAATAAATATTAGGTACTACCATGTGCAGGATGGGATACTTCAATACTTCCAGCAGTGGAAAGAGGAGGCACTTTTAGAGGATAACTCACCCATCCAAACAAAATTCTCTAAAATGCTTTTGAAAGGTAAACCATTTTCTCTGTGGGAAAATGTGCCCCCCATTTTTGAGAACATTGCTGGTACCTGTGTTGTAGACCAGACAGGATAACAGAGCTGCTCTACACAGGCTTAAAACAAGCCGAGCACAAACCCAAGCCATGCCAGCATACATGGAGGGACCTCTGAGAGTGATGCCCACATTGGAATGGCCAGTATGATTACTAAATTATCAAGCCTTGCCTTGTGTGTGACACACGTTGCAGCATATCCTGTATCCTCATCATTTGTTTGAGACTTTGRCATTGATAACAACTTTGCAAGGTTTAATGAACTGTTTTCTCTATTCCTTTGTGCCTGTTCCACTCTGCACCGTTTCTCTGCTTCATTCTGCTTTTCCTCTTTCCATCTAGTAAGGGCTCTCTGTTCCTTCTCCTTCACAGGGTTTATTGCCTATACCAGCTATTGTATATACAGGATTTATTGTATATATTCTGTCTCCTTTACTAGCTGTGCTGCTTGCAGATGAGTGCATCTTTCTGCATCCCTCCTTCAGCCTCTTGCTCTTTCAAACTACAGCTGAAGAAAGGTCTTTCACCTCTGCTCTTTCCTCCTCCCTTTACTGCCACTTTTTTACATATATGCAATAACTATGTTTACCCAGCAAAGAACTGTTACTGGGAGACACAGGAAAAAGAAATCTACACATGACACCAAGTGAAAGAATTACATTTTGATCTTTTTAAATAAAATTTTTATCTCAAGATAATGGCACCCTTATTAAATCATTGACAACTGTTAAAAGAATTGATTACAAAATTATACAGACTGAACTATAGATCTATCTCTGTGAACAGATTTTGCTCTCAGTATTTATTCACTTATAAAATAATAATAACAATAAAAATAATAAATACTTCATTTATCAACTTTCTGAATGTTATTAAGTAATTTACTTTCAAACTCAATCTAGACACAGAAGMAAACTTTAATTGCCACTAAACCTACAGCGGCATCTTAATGAAAACACACATTAAAGTTGAACTGAATGAGCATCCAAAGAAGTAAAATCTTAAACTAKTCTAAGACAACTCAAATTTCTGATAGGACTAGTTACATTTTCTATTTACAAGKAATGAGATATGTTTTGGTCTCATTAACTCTGTATGCCTCATTTTTGTTTTTAACTGAAGCTATGCTCCTATGATGATCCTACGACTATCCTACGGCTGATTGCTCCTGGCAGTGTGTAGATGAAGAGCACCAAGAAGATRATGAGAATCAGCAGAACTATGCCGATAATGATGTACTTCTTGTAATTCCTCCAGATCAGATGATACAAACACTTGAAAGGGTTGACAAACCACGAGAAGGATGTATCTGGTCGGCTAAAAAGGAAGAAAGTAGAAAAGAAAAAAAACATTGGTAAAAGCAGATCTAAGTATTTCCAAAATGACCCCACTGCAAATGACCCCACTGCAAAATTGAGTCTAAAAGGACCTTTAGCTCCTGGGAGCTCACTGAAGGGTTTATGAACTCTCTGGGGTGAATTTCTATGAGTTTTACCCACTCTTGGGTCACTCTTCTTTCATCAGTCCCTGAGCGCATTCTCCACCCACCACTGGAAATGAAATTCCAGTTCACACTTCATAACTATTCCCATTTAAGACAAGATAGGAAGTTCAAGATTACAGACAAGACCACCATAAATCCTAAGAGGGAAATGGAGTTAACCTGGGTTTGTGTTGTGCTTGAGTGTGCTGCTTGAGTGTGCTGCTTTCTATTCACTGCAATGAGTTCAGCATTACAATTGGAGTAAGGAGTCACCAATAAATCTGATTTATTGGTGATAGTCACAGTGCCATATCAGGCACAGGCTCAGGCCTGGCTTAAAGCCCAAAATAGCATATTTTCTGAAGGAGTTTTAAAGTAAGCCACTTGACAACAAGAGATGGATCCTGAAGTCTGCTTAGTCTGGCCACATAACAGCAAGAAGAGCTACCTTTTTCTGCATCTACCATCTTATTTTTTTTTCCAAATGTTGTCCCATGTCATATTCTTCTCCTAAAAATCAGGAGATTTCAGGCTTCATAACCTGAAGCTTCTTCAACTTGATCTACAAAGCTGACTAGGTACAGAATGGAAGACCATGTTGTCTTGAGAAAAACGTTGGTTTAATCTCTTCTCCATCATGCCACACATCCTCGGAAGTCATTATCCCTCCGACTTTAATAGCCTCCCCCCTGCCATGAGCTGAGACAACATCTGTCAGCTGTGTATGATGAGATGACCTGCAGAGCACAATGGCGCYGAGCAATGTTACTAGCAGGAAAATTGGGTGCACATTGCCTTTCCTATCAAATATCATTGTAATTGTGCAGATGGTAGTATAGGGAGAATAAAATTAAGACTAGACATCACAAAGAGCAATGACTGTGTCTTGTTTCAGAAGGCTGTTAAAGGATATAAACAAAGTCTCAGTTATCTTGGGAATTCAGGATGTGCAAGTGAATGCCAATCTGACAGAAAGTCAGGAAATTGAAAAGGTCAGTTAAACATCTTTTAATTAAAAGTGTTTTATACTGAGGATGGACATGGCTCAGAAATACATCAACCAATAGGCCATCCAGATGTAAACCAATTAAAAAAAATGGATACTATAAATAATAAAGCTGATCAAACAGTAGATTTCAGTAATAAAACTGTTATTCCATGTCTTCCAGCTACTCAAGGGCTTTTCATAACTTTTATGGACAGAAAAAAGACATACCCAAACCCTGTCACATTTAACTAGTTTCCTGTACAACTCAGGCAATTGAATTTCCCCTGCTTGGGCATTGAGGCAGAAAGCTTGCATATCAGATCTTCCAGGAAAGCGTCTTGTCATGACCRGCAGCATTGAATAGATGGATACCAGCCTGGTCAGTAAGAAATTGCTCTCACTGCAAAAAACAATACACCTTATTTCTCATGTCCATATTTTTCTTTMGTTCCCATTTAATCTTTGTCAGCTCTTACTCTTTTACATCAGATGTAAAGTAATGGTCTAGACAAGAGTAAGGTCTAGTAGCTCCTAGAATATAATACAGTTTTTGGAATTATTTTCTTTCTTAATTCAAAAGCTTAATTAGGCTTGTAGAGGTCCTAGATGTAGAGGTCCTAACATGTACTTCCCTGAGGCCTACTTCTTCCTAGAAAGAACTCATTTGAAATGCAGAACCAATTTGCCATCACCTGTCAGTGGATTTTGATTACTGTCCTTGAACAAACCTCGTATTTCTCACAGCACTCAGTGGCACTGAACTGGTAAACTTTCACACCCAATTCATGTGTGTTTCTGAGGTAATATAAAGGAGAGTATTAAAAATGTGTATTTTATTGAACTGAGGCATGAAATATCTTGAATAATTATTTTCTGAGGTGCCTGTCTATCTACCTGAGGTGATATTTCTATTGATCTGTTGGTATAAATTTATTTGCTTTAGGACTTATCTTGCCTAGCTTTAGAAGTTGGCTGTCTGGTCTGGTGGGTCACATGGCTGTCTGCACAGCCAGCGTGGACAGGAAGAACCTTCCAGAGCTCTGCTCATCTCTCTGCCCTCCAGCATCCTGCTGGTGAYTACTCCCATCCTAAGGTAATCTGCATCAAGTGGGATGACTCCCTGCTCTGTACACTAGCCGCTATAGGAGACTGAAAGATTAGCCCTGGACACACAGCTAGGTGAGATGAGCTAAATTTAGTTTAATTTAAGGCATAATTGCAATTAGGAGTGGAACTGGGTCAAGCCATGTGTTGGATGTGTATTTTGTGATTTTAAAAAAAAAAAAGATAGGAGTGTCTCCATGTGTTGGATGTGTATTTTGTGATTTTAAAAAAAAAAAAGATAGGAGTGTCTCCATTAAATCAGACCAAGATCTGGAAGATGACTCTAGTGTTGTGGTTTCTGGGCTGAAACACCTCAAGGCTGGTTGTGAAGCAAAGGGGACACCAGGCTAGCGACAGCCTCTTTGCACATTGGCACCTTTACAGCTAAAGTGTCCTTGAGGTGAAATCCAGGGAGTCCGGGACCATCAGAGTGACTAGAGCACATGGACTGAGAGAGATGTGAGCTTGGAAAAGGAGAGGTCTCTGTTCTGGGCTCTGGGCRTGTAGGTTTTTCATTAAGCAGCTGCATTCCCTCTTAAAACTGGTTACTTCCCCAACATGTGTTCAGGGCTATCACAGTTCTCCTTCGACTGTAAGAAAGCACCTTTGTTTTCACTACTGGGAATCTTGGAGACTGACATCTGTCAGGGATAGCTCATCCCACCTTTGGTAAAGATGTTGGATTAGGTGATTGATTGAAGTCTTTCCATGCTTAATATTCAATGAGTCTCCAATACCTCTAATTTTCAGCTTATCCTTTTTGATATTCTTTTTAGGAGTATTGGCAATTCTACCTTTACGTTCTTTTATTCTTTTTCATGTTTACCATGATATATAAGATATATATATATATAATGCAAAAAAAAAAAATATGGAATATGTCAGCACCACCATCATCACTTTCAGTTCATCTTTAGAAGAAAGAAACTTAAGGAAGAAACTTAATTTCTTTTTCTGTAGTCCATTACTATACATATATATTATTATATATACAGTTTATGAGCTGAAATGTATTAAAAGGACTTTTTTCCCTGAATACAAGTATCTAAACTGATATTCTTCTTTTAGTGTGGCAAATACTGAAAGATGAAGTGCTCCTTTTGGATCACCTGCCTTTTAAAATCACTTAAAATATCCTAATTAGAAAATACTATGTTGAAAAATAAGCTTCATTTATTTGATTATGCAATACAGTGAAGTTGGAGACAGATTTGTTACAGCTGTGATTCCTGTAAGTCTCACTTTTCATGTTTTACGTGTCTTTATTGACATGTGCTCAGTTATGCAAAAAGCACCAAACATATAAAGGTCAGTTTTCTGCTAATATGTAGCAACTAAGTCACTAATACAGGAGCAAATAATTCTTGTTTTCCAACACTGAGTGTGTCTCCTTAATGGCCAGATTAATTGATAATGGTTATAGTAAATGTTGAATACAATCATTTTAGTGCACTTAAACATTAACCACTTAAACTTATCCTCTTAATAGGATGATTTTCATCCCTCAGATTTTTTACATGGTCAAAATGAGGTGTTAGGTTTATGAATAAATTACGACAGTGTAAGAGCCAGGTCAGCTGTGAAATTGGCCCACATGTGAACTCTATCTTAGGACAGATGGAAAGTAACCTGATTTATTTTGGCCGAAAGACATTTCAGCTCACCTGGAACACGCTCCAGCTCTGATTGTTGCCAGGCTGCCCTGGCACACGGTCATGCTGGGACTCACAAGTAGGCCAAATGCCTTCTCAAGGTTAGATCATGAAAGAAGAGAAAAGCCAGGAGGGGATGCAAGGAGACCTGTTCCCCTCTGCTCAACTTGTTGCCCCTCAACTTGTTTAATGAATATGTTCCTACTCACTTGGGTTTTTCCAAGGGCTCAGGCTCCTTTCGAGCTTTGCCTACAGGATTCTTCTCAGCTTCTTCTGCTGTAACCAGGTGAAATTCAGCTTCCACCTTGCCCTAGGTTAGAGAAATCATACATAGCTATCCAGTTCTGAGTTAATACAATTAAATCACAGAAGAGTTTGTCTTGCAGAGAAATAGGGAACCAGTTAAGGATGAAAGAAATTGATTAAAGAAGGGAAAGATGCTGTAGTGAAAAGAAGAAAAGAAAAGAAAAGAAAAGAAAAGAAAAGAAAAGAAAAGAAAAGAAAAGAAAAGAAAAGAAAAGAAAAGAAAAGAAAAGAAAAGAAAAGAA